GGGTCTGCAGCACAACTATGCTGACATATAAGCGCTACAACTGGAAACTTGAAAGCCGGCATTTGGCCTCCTAAGAATTGTGGCTTGATTCTTATGGATCTGCGTTCATTTGCTTTGAGTAGCACAAATTGCTAAGGGGGATTAGTTACCTGTTCTTTGACACTAGATTCCAGAATACTATATTATTCATTACAACTTCTGCGAAACGGAGGTGAATTCTTTGGTGGAAGTTGATGGCGCGCGCAAATTTAGAATTATTTGTGCGTGGGTCTGGAAACGGGCAGCTGTAAAAATTACAATATAAAATTAAAAAACATATATTCATAATAGAAGTTGTACAATTTGAAAAAGTCTTCCAAATCATTTTACTGGTACGTCTTTTATTCCTAATTAATTTGATGTCAACCACGGTCAGTCCCCATTTTACTTATAATGAGGAGCAGACGAAACAACTCCACTGTTCTTAGAGCTGCCATTAAAATTTGAAATCTATTAAAAATATGACTTACATTTGATAACAAGGAATTCGAAAGTGAAAAAGCTTTTTTCTAATTCCTCGAATAACTAACAAAGACGGGATTTGAGCTATACAGTCTTGGTTTTATTTATAAGGGTTGGATTGAGCAAGTCGCCCTAATGAAGTACAATATCCAGAGGGTCAATACATTCCCTCTTGCTCCCTAGCGAGACGTTATTTAGACTTCAGTAGAAATGAGGACAGTAACTCCAGTGGACGAGGGCGCGCATTCCCTGTCCCTGCCACTTGATTTGGTCGTTAGGGATAAATATTAAGGAGAGGAATTTCGGGTTGGGGCTTCTGCAGCGCTGATATGTTGCAATCTCTTGCATCCATGAATAATATTGACTGGAGTGACGGTTGCAATAATGAGACAAAATGGCGACTGTCGAAACATAACGATTGCTTCATTACGAAAAATATTAGTTTTCGCAAAAGAAATACTGAATGAAAATTATCCTTAATTGGCTCTCAATAATTGACATGTGCGTAAAAAATTACCCAAAGACTGGTTCCGGGTTCAAATTCAGTTTTTTTTAGAATTACAGTCAAAAGTAGTCCTAAGCATAAAGTTTCTTCCTCATTTCCTGAATAAAACTTGACGTTACTGACAAATGATTACTCAGAGGAATACCGACGATGAATCGCGCCGACCTGCCTCGTACGCGGCCTGCGCTCCTTCAAATGGCATTCGTGCAGGACCTGAAGAACCTCTCGAGCTTCCTCAAGAAATTTATCTACTGAAAATTACGCCGCGTCGATTGAAATGGCGATTCCATTCAATGGATTTGGCAGCAGCGGCGAAATGACGGAGCATTTCCTATTTTGTGCAATTTTATTCTTCGCTTTCAGGTTTCCCAGGGATGATTTCCCGGGAGATTCTCCATTCGGAGACAAATTTGACTCGCGATCGACGCCGAAATTTCATGAATTTACGAGTGGATTTGCTTTGACTGTTGTTAAGGTTTACGTTGTGTGGCGCTTGAAATGGAGTGTTTAGGGGCACATAAACGAGACCGAGTCTTGGAGACCCTGATGCCGAAAAGACAAGTTCCCTTCCTGGTCTCAACACTTTGATCTTATTGATGAAGCGTATTATTTTTATTTTATTATTTTTATATATTATACTATTGGACCGCTGGCAGAACGTTTGAAAATGTTATCTTAAAGAAAATTTAATCTTGAATTTAGAGAAAATTTTGAGCGGAAACCGAGACCTAGTCTTGGAGAACCTGACACCTGAAAGAGACCTCCCTGGTCTGAACACTTTGATCTTATTGATGCAGTGGATTACAGGATGGCTGGCAGAACCGGAAATTATCAACCTACAGAAGATATTTCAATCTAAAAAGTAGAGAAAATTCTGGACTAAAACGCAATAAGAATACTCGCAGCAAGATTGAAAATTTATTGGCGCCTGATCTTTAATAATACCAATGAACTTTAATTCCATTACTTCAATCAGCTGCTAGAAATTTTATAGATAATTTAAATAAATTCACTAGTTACATCGTTCCAATAGGTGAAATTTACCCTTGCCCAATATCTGAAATTTCTTTATGTTGGAGACTCTATTCGAATTGCAAACTTCAAAACACTTCTGGAGGCGGCCAATTATATCTTCAATTTTAATTTCGATTGCCTATCTTGAGTTAAAACGGAAAAACAATAATTGTAATTTTTAATTGAAACATATTTGATTATTTCATTTTGAATTTTTTCGGTGGTAAATATCTCCCATTTATTTTTTATCTTAATGCTCAGTAGCCATTATCAAAAATGTGAAATACAAGTCAAAGTTGATCGCGACGGCTGAGTTTACTGGTAGAATTTGGTTCCAGCTGCAGGTTGAATAAGCTCAGTGAGCTCAGTGCAAGTTCAGCTGTGAACTGATGAGGTTGTTGTGTGGGCCGCTGCAGCGTTCTGTCGCTCCAACGGTGCGACTGATGTAGGGACTTCAAGCAATGATAAAATCTGTATTGCTTTCTACTAGTGAATTTGAGTGATTAATAACATAACTAATTACGCACCGAGATCTATCGTATAACAGCACGATAAATCGTTATTACAATAAGAAAAAACCTTGATGATTCAGTTACGTAAATTGAAATTAGTGGTTTCAAGCCGCAGCGTTGGTTTATCACTACAGTTTTTTCTTCGAAAATATCATTTTATGCATTGGATCTTAATTCTTTCTTCATCTAAATGTAGTGTCAATACCAAGGCTTGAAAGAATTTTATTTCGTTGTTTTTGAGTATCGTGGAGGCTGTTGCGCCTGGAACTTGTTAGTATAGATGCCTAGCGCAGTTGATATATTTTTTTTGAAATTACATAGAAAGAAACGAAAAAATTAAAAATTTATTAATTTCGATGTTGAATTTTCATATTGTAAGTACTCTGCTAAAAAATTTTCGATCTAATAATCCCTAACGTTGCTATAACTTTAAATTTAATTTTCATATACGTAATTCTTTAGATTTCGGCAAACTGTTCTTCCCATATCATTCTTTGAACTATTCTCACTAACATTCGGTAAGCTGTTCCGCTTTTCAGTTTATTTCAATCGACTTTAATTCTCCTACTTAAATAGCAATGCAATAATGAATGATCACGAGTGCGCTGATGAATGATTCCCTTCAGACATAAAGTTCATTAAGCTTTTTCATCTGTCAGCATTGTGGACGGGGTATGAATGGAGCAAGAAATTTTCATTGCGAAGCAAACTATTATGAAGCGAGAAATATGCAGGGGGAAGGTTTTCAAATATTCACGAAAATAACCAAAGCAGAAGTATTGAATGAAATTTCTAAAACCTTGCTTTTGGACAAAAATTGTCAAAATTACTTCCCGAAAGTGCAATTAACTCTCGATTAAAAACTCATTTCATGGTGTTCCCTATCGTAGATAGTTCTTAAACGACTGATTGACATAATCAAAAATTCATTTAATGCATGAAAATGCCTTCTCATGCATTATTGAGGAGTAGGATCTAGCTAGAGGCACCTATTAATGCAAAGCTTTCAATCCCCTGAGAAGATTATATCCACTGAGCCACGCCAATCAACATCCATGTAATCAGTACGTCGTTTGAGTGATATCACGTCATCCGACTAAATAAATTCCCTTGAAGTCTTTCGCTTTAAATGTGAAAGGATATTTTATATTATATTCTGGCCGCCAGCCAAATGTTGAAACGTTAGCCGCACTCGTCTTTAATTGAATTTAATCCCGTGTGATATCTCAACTGTAGGGTTAATTGATACAGTTTCTGATTAGCAATTATCACCTACATATTTGGGCCTCATCAAATCTGCAAATGTTTTAACCTGTACAGTTGATTGCCAGTAAAATTGCATTCATCACTGAGTAAGCGCACATGAAACAAATATGGCAGTAGAAATGGTTCATATGACTAATTTACGTACATGCAATAAATATGGCAGTATAAATGGTTCATACGATAAATTGATGCATATGTCATACATATGGCAGTAGAAATGGTTCAGCCGATAAATTGACTTCAATTTTCGTTGTCTGATATGAAAATTGTCTTGATATTCCTGATCCGAATATAGCCAAAGTAAATAATAAAGTCAAAGATTAATCATTAACTCGGAAAGTCTCACCAAGTTGAACTTAAGTACTCCTTAAGAATATATGTAATAAATTTGTCCAAAATTCATGATTATTCATACATAGAAACTTCAAGACGATTCCCCAACAATACAATGTTTAGTGGGATTCGAAAGAAATGAGCTAAAGGACTGACACTACTTGTGAATTCTGTCATACTTTAATGAATAAATTATCAGTGCTTTGCAGAGAAAATTAGCTTATCGTATTCGCATCCACGTATGAATAACGTGTGATTTAAGTTTTACTTGATCAAGTTTAATTGGTTAATTATTACCAAGAAGCCAAAGAAACGTACAAAAAAAGTATCCCAGAACCATATATCAAAATGCTATCTGTACAAACGTGATTGATAATATTTTATTTTATTTTATTAAAATAGGGGACAATATTCGTTACTCTGGATTCAGGTAAAATAACAGTCGTAATTTAGAAAAAAAAACAACACTAAATAATTGACCTACAGTTTAATGAAAATTTTTCTTGGTACGCTCCCGATAGGCGAGAAAACGTCATGTCCTTCAGTGTACATGCACAATGATCGGTCAAGTGCAGTACATTTTAACTGAACTTTTCTTCATTTGCAGATCATCTATTATTTTCGAATATGAAATTAGTAATTGGGTTTGTACAGACACAATTGTATATTAATACTTAATTTGGTGCTGCATGTCGAGGAATTGTGATAGAAAAATGATCGAGAAAATAGTGTCTCGAATGACCATTAGTCGTCCTAAAAATATCCTACGAAAGAGAACACACTCCGCGCGGACAGAAATGAGTCTTGAAAGCTTAGTCTCAGCATTACTATTGTTTTCACAGTGCATGTGCACTGCATCTCAGCAGGCCATGACAGGTCCAGTGCACACTAGACACGGTGCAGTGCAGGGAGTGTACAAACAGATCTCGGGTGCCGGGAGAGTAGCATCGTTCTTGGGCATCCCGTACGCGTCCCCGCCTGTAGGCAGCGCTCGGTTCCAGCACGCCAAGCCCCCCTCGAACTGGGCAGGCGTGCACCGTGCAGACAAGCACGGTCCTGCGTGTCCGCAGTCCGAGGTTGCGGACACGCACCTGACGCATGATGTCGCTCAGCAGCAGAGTGAAGACTGTCTTTACGTCAACATCTTCTCGCCAGGTACGTCACTCAATTTACCCATCAATTGATGTTTCAGTATTGCAAGGTACTTTTATTTAAAATTTATGCTGTCAATTAAAATCTCCTGAGATTTTAAGGTTCTTGTGTTTAGAAGGTTTTTCTGAATGCAAATTGCAGTCTTTTCGGTACTCGTGTGAGTATTTAAACTCGAATTGCTCTACAAGTTAGCTGTTCCATTTGGCTCTGAAATTTTATACTTCGATATATTTACAAATTTGATATTCTACATAGTGCGGAAATTTAATTTAAGTTCGCTTACGACTAATTAATTACTTATCTTCAAAGTTCACTTTTTTGCAAATAATATTAAAATGAGGTGGGTTAAGCAAGTGTACGTGTACCAAACTATTTATTAATCCCAAACTTTCCCTTTTTATATTTTTTTTAATGTAGCCATGGTAGAATGTGTTTTAATAATCCTAATAACGAAAATTTACTAAACCATACACAAAACGGCCATACACTGTTTTAAACATTATCCGAAGACTTTGTCTTAACTGCTTGAGCAGTTTACTATCCATGCCAACAAATGCGTAGGGCTTGAATCTAAGCGTGCGTTGATGGAGTTGAAAATTGGGTATCCTTTCTCGCTTTTCTAGATCAACTTTACGTATGGAGTTTTTTTAAACAGTATATGGAACTGCGTGGTCATGATGGAAATGTGATCCAACATGGCGCCTCAAAAGATTACCCTTAGGAACTTTGGGCAAAGACAATTGTATTACATTTGGCAAAAATATTCACTCGATATAAGATACTGAGAGTTTGCTGACATAAGACTAAGACTCTTGTGAGAGCTCAGAAAATAACAGTAGTGGGATCTCAAATTATGGCCCTTAATTATTGTGAGACATTATACAAATATCTTTGTGGGGCATTAGACAAAACAGTTAACATGAAGCAAAGACCATCGCGAGATCTTAAACAAAGCCAGTTGCCTGACATTGGGCCAAATCCCTTGCGGGAACATAAAAAAGCCAGTTGTTTGGCATAAGGTAAAGGCCAGAGCGGGAGCTACGACAGACTCTTGAAAACCCCTAAAAAAATGTCCCTTGTTTAACAGTAGAAGGGCTTTCCCTTGAAATGCAAGCAACTAACAAATTAAATTAAGCTTTCTTTTTGTAGAAAGTATAAAGAAGACATGCAATCATATTTCTCACACGTTCGTTTAGGAATCAATGAATATCTCTCAATATTTTGAGTAAAAGATATTTTCACTGAATTTTGTTCCGAATATGTAATTGATAATTTTCCTCATTGAAATTCAATCAAAAGATCGGAAACCATTTGAAAACAAATAAGAAGTAACTTTTTGGCCAGTGAAGCACTCGAACTTAACTAGGTGGACTAGATATGTCTCCATTGAAGCGGGATTGGCGTTCTACTGATAGCTCAAGTTCTTGGATTCACTCCAACGGATATTGAGCGGGAATAAAATTGATCGACTGCAGCGTATAGTTTTGGCTCTGATTTGATCTTAGATTTGGGGACAAGATGTGACCATCAGACAGACACATAACGAGACAAATGTTCATCCAACCAATACAAATTGTAAATTATATTACAAAAAATAACGTATAGGTAATGAAAAGAAATGATCACAAAAATTGCGGAAAAATGGAGATTGGGAGTCCAAGTTCATTTCATGAAAAAAAGTTTCTAGACCGAATAAGAAAAAACTAAGCGGTAAATTTTTCGATATAATAAATTCCTACCAAATGCAGGATTAATTTCCTTATTATTCTGTCTTCTTATGAACTGAACTGGGCAATCAAACGCACCTATTGTATTTTTATTCAACACTCGCTTTAACTTCAATTTCTACTGAACTCCTGACTAATTGACGCGCCTAAATACTAAAATTGAACTCATCGATCAAAACTATAAAGAAAACAAATAAATCGTTGAAAATTCTATCCACGATATTATTGATATTATGTTCAAATGCAATTAACTTTTAACTACAGTTAACGAACGTAACTAAACACTTGAATTGCGTTGTGTTTCATGAATGGGAAATTTTGATTGATGTACATTCACTCAAACGGAAAATGAATTCCGCACAACATTCTCTGAATAAATTGAAATCACTCAGTTGCCAATTGTGAAGACCGATTTCGTGCACGGATGCGTCATGCTCTAATTAGTTTGTCTTGCTGCCTCGTCTGCCCTCTTGTCTTGCTGCATCGTCTGCCCTCTTGTCTTGCTGCATCGTCTGCCCTCTTGTCTTGCTGCATCGTCTGCCCTCTTGTCTTGCTACATCGTCTGCCCTCTTGTCTTGATGCATCGTCTCCCTTCTTGTCTTGCTTCCTCGTCTGCCCTCTTGTCTTGCTGCCTCGTCTGCTTTTTTGTCTTGCTGCCTCGTCTGCCATCTTGTCTTGCTGCCTTGCCTGCCCTCTTGTCTTGCTGCCTCGTCTGCTTTTTTGTTTTGCTGCATCGACTGCCCTCTAGTCTTGCTGCCTCGTCTGCTTTTTTGTTTTGCTGCATCGACTGCCCTCTTGTCTTGCTGCCTTGTCTGCCCTTGTCAATTGTTATACAAGCTGCAAGCTCTTGGCCAAACTCGCGCAATTTAGAGAACTGGATGCAAACTATCGTTTCAGATAAATGTGTTTGAGTTCCACCAGAATTTCACAACCAGTAAAACTTTAAGTTGTTTAATATTATTTTAGAATTCGGAAGAGCAAAGTTCAACAGATCTTAATTTCTTCGTTCCTGCAGCTTGTTGTGAAATAAATTTCATGAAAGCACTTTGAATATACAAAATTCCTTGAACCTTTGATCTAAGTAACGCAGGGTTTGAATTCATCAAAAAATTGCAAAATGGTTTGAGAATTTGAAAAGCAAAATCCTTTTTACAATTGTCGCGGGCACAGAGTGACGTCAGAAGGAAAATATTGCATGCAGCATTGTAGTATTTTGCGCATCGAATTTCATTTCTAAGTGCATCTAATTCAATGCTGTAATAGTACCCAAACGCTGATTAGCACTCCTGTACATGCAGAGATCCGAGAAATAGGTAGACTATATATTTCATTAGGAATCGTTAACTGTGGATCTCGTTTACCCTAACTAGAGAAATATTATGAAATTGGTTGAATTTTACGACTACGTGAGCCGATTCTGATCAAAGCCTAAGCCCTGCATCATCTGTCAGTTTATTTGCTTCACTTGCCTGGTTATAATATTATAATACTTGATAATTTAGGTGAAATAGGATCATTTATCGAGATAATGGCTTCCTACTTCTATTTCAAGCATCTCGAGTACAGTTTTATAGGATTCTGCAGTTTGCCTAACAAAAAATAGACAAATTCTCAAGAAAGTGGCGCAAAATATTCAGCAATAAATAGAAGCCTAAATCTGCCTAATCGATGATGCACTAAATCCATTCGTGTTTCCTTTATTCAGCAAAAACCTGGAGGTGCAGGTCGTCCATTTGACCAGGAAAGGTCTTAAGTTAACCTCAAGTTGGGTGATTTACGATAACGCAGGCAATACTTTGGTCTCTGATATCCTAGTTAACCTCGACGGCCATCAGCCTGATGGCAGGTCTGGGTCTGGAGGCTCTGTCGCCGTAGATACTGAATTAGGTGGTCGCAGAACCGCATTGTTTCTCAGAAAGAATTCTTGGGATTCCAAGCGTGGTTGCTTTCCTCGAATAAAATGAGGACCAGGCCTCCGTTTCGGCTCATCCTTTACCATTCAGACTTCTGAGCAGACCACGTTTGTCCCGTCGGGCCTCATTACCCAGCCTCACATAACCAACATGGTCAATGGACACCAAGGAATTTTACTTTCTACAGGTCCAGCAATGTCTTGTTCTCTGTTACGCTAACCCACTAATTAATCAAGGGTATTTGCTTAAAGTATGATTGTGTTTTATGAAATAATAGAGGCTACTAAATTAACATACAGTACATCCGGAGATAAGATCAAAAACGCCTACTCCTGCAATTTCATTTATTCGCGTCTGGTAGGCTGTAACGAAAGGTACATTCAATTAATAGACTCCGGTTTAAAAACTAAAAAAAATTGTTTTGAAAAATCCAATCCAAATGCCAAAGAACCGTTTTCCTTTATTCCAGGAAAATAAATAATTTATCCTTGAATGATCTTTGCTGTAATTTAAACATTAAAGCAAAATAATTATCATGAACCTTTTGAATTTTCCCAATTCTTGAGCGTATGAGAGTCCCACGGAAATTTGGAACGATGCTCTGATATGAGATGATTAAAGCGCAGAAAATTCGTTTACCTGCACGTAGTTTTTCAAGCATGCTGTGTAAAAATCTTAATAATAATAGGGGCCTAAAGAATATTACATTTGAAAAGTAACTCAATTGGTGGATGCATTTAAAATTTGTACAGATTATATTATCGGAGATTAACACCAAAGCGGCCTAGCTACAGCCACCGCACACGCGTTGCTCGATATGAAATAAATTATACATGAAACACAAAAAATTCATCCATCAATGACGAACTTTTCATGCAAGGATCGAAAAATTTTTTTTGAAATTTTAGAATTCTTCAGAAGTTTATACAAATAACTAGGATATTTGAAAAATTATTCCTATTCTTCCAATTGCGTCAGCTCTCAGCTCAACTTCAATTAGAAAATATCACCTTAGTATTCAATTTCATCAATATTTAAGCTCACAGGAGCGAAAGAAGCTTGGACGTGAGCGAGACGCACGTGCCATGAACGACCTCGACTATAATTGCCCGCAGCTGTTGAGCAGGTGTTCTGCTCGAAAACATTGCCAGTGAACACGCAGAAGCAGTTGTCTTTGTGTTCAAACTACGTTCTATTTTAATATTCCACCATTGAAACCACAAACCAATAATGACCAGATAATATTAATAACAAGTATAATATTAAAACTAATAATAATATTAATAATATTGATATTAATATTAATTTATTATTAATGGCTTATTGAAAGACACTGTTTCCGGGGAAAAAAATAGAACAAATG